ATTTTGGCTATTTTAAAAATTATTGTCCCTAATTCCACTATAATATATTTTAGACAAAAAGTTTTCGATAAAAGTAGTTGCAGATAATCACATCCCTAATGAGTTTGTGTTCTCCGATTTTTCCTAAGCCTGTCATTTTTGACATATGACACAAACATATGTTTTTCTAATTGAAAACCACATAGTTTGCACTTTTGCAGGCTATGTTTGCAGGCCATGGCTTCATAAAAGCGCCATTTTTTAAGCTTTTCAACGATATAAGCTATATTTTTTTTTTCAAGTTCAATCGTTCAATGTTCAACAAGTTCAATCGTCGTTGCTCTCAGAAATGTGAAACTGTCACATCCAAAGTAAATTAAAATAAACAAAAATTGCAAATATGAATCTTTCAAATGAAGAAAAACGTGTAGGATTATTGGTTCAACTTTTCTTGGCCATACAGTTTCGAGGTTACATTGACCGGTGAACGTTATTACGTTTTTTTTTTATAGAGAACGGTTTTCAAAGACATGTTAGAAAAGCTAAATTTAGATACTCGCGCATTAATAGTCCATTAGTGGTTCCAACGTGACTATCATTATGACACACCACCTCTCCGCCACAATGAAAGAAATGTTAAAAATTATTTATATCATAATTATGTAGACTCAGGAACAGAAAGAGGTGGATCAATTGCATGGGCCTCCTCGATCACCTGACCTATCCATAGTCGACCGGTCATTCTGTGAGAATATCTAGAAATTCAGTTATAAAAAGATGCATTTATGTACTCAAAACAATGGCGGATTTTTTGAACATATTCTAAAATAACTTAAAGTATGTAGTAATATTATTTTTTAAGTTTTAGTTTCTGTAATGTAAATTGTAAAGATCCGTTTAATATATTTTGTCTTTCTATAAGTTATAAATCATAACAAAATAAGAATAACACTATGCCAACTAAGTGAAATTACTCAAGAAAGATAAGAATTGGCTATAACTCAGTAATTGTTTGAAAGAAACATATTATAGGTTATATCGCTGCAAAGCTTAAAATATGGCGCTTTTTATGAAGACATGGCCATATTGTCTTGGTTTCCATATCAAAAAACATATGTTTGTGCCATATGTCAAAAATGACAGGCTTTAGAAAAAATCAGAGAAAACAAACTCATTAGGGATGTGATTATCTACAACTTTTATCTGAAAACTTTTTGTCTAAAATAGATTGTACTGGAATTAGGGACAATTTTTAAAATAGCCAAAATATATGTTTTTTTCGAAATATCTAGTAAGCAATGAACTTTTTCAAAAATCTGAAAGGCGCATATTTATGACTCCACAAAACTGCAATTCTTTCCCCATTTAACAGACTCTCTATCTCCAGTAGTTTCCGAGATACCCATAGAGAACATCGTAGGGAATTCACCCTTTATAATTTAGGTTCGTTTTTATTTTTATTGAAATGTACAGTGTGGCCAAAAAGCTTGAAAATAAAGTATAGTCTTTTATTGACAGACATATGTTATGACAGATAAGTAATACTCGCGGGAAATCGAACAAAAAACGGCGTCCAGTTGGCTTGGAAATGACGATCGATGCCATTCCCATATAATTTTACATATAAAATGACACGGAATCTAATATCATTTCACTGTCAGTGTCCAAGTCAGTTGAACATAAACATTTTGAACTTATGGCAGACCGTGTGTGATCAATGTGTTTTATGATCATATATCGAAGCATCGAAAAACGCCTTCTAGATGGCTTAAAAATTACATTCACACTTTTACGTATAAAATGACAGCGATCTTCATTTCCAAGCCAGTTCTGACGCAGTTGTTTTATTCTATCGTACTTCATTCGTATATGATGACAGGTAAGCAATTTATTTTGAGAAATTACATTTGAATTTAGAATTTTTTAAAACGTTTTGATAGTACGGTATTTTATATTGCATTGATTGCTGTATAAGTTTGCAATAAACTGACAGTAATTATAAATGATGTAATTTTTATGTTTTTATTTATTAAAATTATTTAAACCTAATTACAGCAATGAATCCATGACTTAAAGAAGAAGGTTTCTTTTTATCTATGTTTTAAACAAATATGGTAAATTGATGATATTTAAATAGATGATACTAAAGTCCGTCCAACGAGTCGGGGAAGATTTCGACAGACGTCGTCCAAAAAATTACAGATAATAAAATTTACCTGTAATAACTAAATGACAGAAACAAATGTCAATGTCATGTATCCTCTCGCTGGACAGATTTTAGTTTATGATGGTAATGCTTTTTTTAAACGAAACCAAGCTCCATTAATAATATAATTACAAGTCTTCCTCATCTGTCAAAGTGATAGCGCTTCCAAAAACGCCATCTTTGTCCATTTCTTTCGCTTTGGCCATCGAAAATCTCCTTTCTTGTGAAGATTCACCCAATTCAGACTGTAAACTATTTTGTTTTCTAAAAAATAGTGAATTCTACATTATATATTATACATTTACAGCTTTACTATGATTAATAAAAATAAATTGAAATAGAAAAGAATCATTGCATCTACTTTTCTAGAACGTTTTTTGGTTCTTTGGTTCCAATTGTGGAAAATTTTGAAAATCCGGTGTTTTAGAATATTTTTATTATTAAGCTCGGTCCAGATGTAACGACTTATCGTGCGATTTTTTTAAAGTTTGTTTTTAAGTTTAACTTGCCTTTTTTATCTAAACACACAGCAAAACCCAACCACAACAGTGATTCCTTTATTATTATTTGGCAGAACACACAAAAGGTTTAAAGACAAGGCGTTGTATATGGATATATTAGTAAATCAAATCCACGTGACTTTACAATACAAAGTAAAATTACGGCAACGTAGAATTGCCACGCTCAAAATATTATTTTTAGTGACTTGTATGTTGTTAAATTCGCATAAATGACGTCATACTTTTAAGGCGCCTGCCTGCCCCTGTTTAACCTTAGAATCTAAAGTTTAAAGGAGTAAAAAGTAGTAAAATATTATTTAGTGCCCTTCCTTAATCGATAAAATAGTTTTTTTCATATTAAAGATATTTTTTGCTTACTTGAATTAAACGTTACAAAAAGTTCAATAAGTTTTAATATAGAAAAACACCGGATTTCATATTTAAGGATAGAAAAAAATTACTCATGCAGAGAACACAGAACTTTGCAATTATCAATTTAAAAAAATGCTAATGTTCCAATGGAGAGAATATGTGATTTCCAACGAACTACTCTCTAAAAATGCCCGAGAAAATGATTTAGTTCTGAATTAAAAAGTTATGCAACAACTGTCATTCTTGTATATTCTCTCGCTGGACCTACTATAATTTTAACTAAAGATAACGATATAAAGACAATATCAAACCTAAAATATGAAAATTATTTACGTTGGTTCTTTATTTCTACTTCCCGAACTGTCATCCGACTTTGAACTTTTAATTCTCACTATTTTCGGACCATTGGGCTTGTCGTCCCATGAACTAGGCCTTCCCCTAGGTGTCATATTCATATCTTTACCCCTGAAAACGAATTACTACTGTTATATTCGAATTGACATGAAGAATTCACATATCTAAAGGGAAATATAAATCCTTCGAAGACTGCCCCATAATATTGCTATTAAAATATCTTAAAAACATGGTAGGTTAATAGATATATAAGTAAAATACAAGTTAGGCATAATTTTTTAATAGAAAAGTGTCATTTAAGCTTAGCTTTAGACTTATTTTATGATATTTTCGTTCGATTCTGATACTTACCTATTTCCTAACCGTTTATCCATTTCTTTTTTGTATGAATTCGGGCATTTCTTTGTTTGTGTCCTAAAATAGGTTTTATACAATAAAATTGGTAATATTTTTAGAGAATAAATACCGTTGATTTCTTTTGATCTGAGTTCGACCAAAAATTGGTTGTGGGTGAGTTATCATCTATTGAATTTAGAGCATCTGCCGATAGGGTTTGTCTGCCAGATGATAATGGAGGACTAAAAATAATTAAAATATGTATTTTGAATCCAATACGTTTTGTTTTGATATATAGACTCAAGATATTTTAAAATTATTATTATTATTGCCTGATTTTTTTTAAACTGATTATGTAACCCATAGCAGTATAAAATTTTGTTTCCCCCATTTAATTAATACTTTTGCATGTGTCATTTACTACATGTTATACAATAAAATGGTTTAATTTTGTTCTATGTATAGAATATATTTTGTGTAAAGAGCTGAACGCTTAAAATATTTTATAGAAAAGGTTTTAGATTTAAAATGACATATTTTTGTAAACCTACAAACATTCCAGATCATATACAGGTTGGTCCGAAATGTATTCGGGAAACTTCGACAGGCTGCAGATAAAAATAAGTAAAAAAGTTTCTGCAAATTTATGTCATAAAAAATGCTTAGTTTCGGAGATAAAAACTGCGTAGAAGTTTCATTTTTATTTCGTTATTGTCTAAATAGTTTCTGAACTAATGCCAATGTTTGAATGAAAATTGGCGTCTGCGAGTTTTTTGACATGATAAATTTGATTTTGAAATATATGACTCCTAAGTAGAGGTGTGTAGTTTGTAAACGAACTAGATCCAATGAACTATGCCGACTCCGGAATGAAAGAACTAGTTCCCTGTTTCTCAAAGAACTAGTTCCTCAGGACCTATTCCGGGATCGAGACTGTGACCGATATAATATAATAATATGCTACGGCGATGGATCGGCCAGCGCGATCGTAGCCTGATGCCAGGCAGGAGTGAGGAGTGCCAGCCGTATGTTATCGGATCCAGAGCTAGAGAAACTAAATAAATGACTAGTTTACGTACGGATCGGCCAGTGCGATCGTAGCCCGATGCTAGGCGGGAGGGGAGAGTGCCAGCCGTATGTTACCTTTCCCGGACCGAAAGGACTGAGAGGAACTCGAGGAACTAATTAAAAGACTAGTTCACGGGAATTTATTCGATCGGCAGATCCGAGATATAATACAAGGCGACGATGATGAATTCGGCTTTGTCTATTGCCACAGTCGCAGCCGGCGTAAATACCACAAAAAATTGTGGATACTGTTTTTGATTTTTCGTTCGTTCTTTGCATATTTTATGGGAATGTTTCACTTTAGGTCCCTAAAATTAAGAAATATCTTATATTATATATGTTACTGTAAGTGTCCGAAATGCGGTAAAACCTAGGATAAGTGCAGTAAACGGAGGATTTACCATGTGGTAAAGCATGTGGTAAAAGCCCGAAAACTATTTATTTTGCTCCCATTTCGGACTTTTACCGGACCAAAACAGTAAATCTTGGGATTTACCACACCGTATTGGTAAAAGTACGAATAAGCAAGTGGTAGTAAAAACCAACCTACCCCATCAAATAACCACCTAACCAATGCCTTAACACCCCCCAAGTAACCAGGCTAACCAATGCATTAATTTGTCGATATTGTTGCTATAAGAAAAAGTTTAAGTGTGATATACCTTAATCAAATTTACCTTTATTTTAATAGTAGAATCTAAAAATATAATAATATACAGGGTGTCCCGTTTAAAAAAAAACAACTATAATATTTTTAACTTATTTGGGACACTCTGTATATTGTAAAAATATTTTCAAATTGTAGCTCTAATAGTCCTTCAACGAACCCAAAAATTACAATTTGTAAAAATCTAATCGTTTAGCTACAATACTCCGTGTCGTATGTGGTGAACAACCCTGTATACAAAACAAAGTAGATATTCTGAATTTTTAGACAAAAACAAAAAGCTTGAAGTGAAGAAAAATGCAATTTTTTCGCATTTTTTAGCAATTCAAAATTTTCGTATTATCTGCTCCAATTAATTTGTGATATAGTTTTTTAAACTCTGATTTGAGTTTCTTTTTATTTTTTTATCTGCAATAAAACTTACCTATATGTTTTTAACATAAGCAATTACACGTCTCGTTATATTTCCTACATTATAAAAATTATATAGATCTTACTGTGAATAGTTCTGACTGACAACGAAATCCATTAGCCAGCAACGGGGATGTCAGTGTTTGTCGGGAACTATTATGAACTAAAGACCTAGTTCAAAAAACTATTCCTCTGGAGGAACTAGAACTAAGGAACTAGAATTCCCACCTCTACTCCTAATGTCAATACGACTCCTAATTGCAGAGGGTGGTACTTACATATTTCTTAACTGGTTTGAAGACTAATAACTTTTTGTTTGTATTTCTATAAAACTACATTACATAAGTGTAAAAAATACACATTTTTCAAGTCTTTTTTTAGTTAAGTTTGATTTTCATGCATCCGTTGTCCGACGATACGATGATGCGATATTAATTTTATTGGTTGAATTTAAAGACTTCGATTGGTTAACCGTTTCTAACCAATCGAAGTCTTTAAATTCAACCAATAAAATGAATATCGTATCATCGTATCGTCGGATAACGGATGCATGAAAATCAAGCTTTATTTGTAATCGAAGTAATCAATACATGTCATCATTGACATAAATTAAACCTGTTGACTAAATAGTTAGTAAACTGAAATAATAAATTTGAAATGTTTTTGTATCAAAGGTCCAACAGAAACTGTTTTATTCAAAAAATTTGCGAAGAAAAATTTATGATTAATTAAAAAAAATAAAAACTTCCCAAATTTAAAATTTCGGTCAAATAACTATCTATTCAACATGTTTCTTTTTTATCAATAATAATATGTATTGACATTTATCCAAATATGGACTATATGTATAGTTCAGAAATTGTTTCGAAAAAAAAACCGAAATAAACATGAAACTTCTACATCTTGTATCTCCTAAACGAGGCATTTTAGGACATACATTTATAAAAACTTTTTCACCTATTTTTATCTGCTGAATATGCTGCCAAAGTTTCCCGAATACAATTCGAAACACACTGTATAATCCACTACCTAAAGTTATAATAATTCCTAAGAATTATTAATTAAAAGACTTGTTTTCTTTTTATCTCAACGTATAGGAAATTCCCCCAATTAATAGAATTAATTTGGCAATGAATAAAGTTTAATAAAAACATTTGCGAATCATAACAGAATAAGTTATGTAAAAACACAAATCTACAATTTGCATTTAAGTTCATACAAATGCAAAATAATGAATAGAAATTATCTGTTGTCCAAAAATAAAACGCATTATTTTAACAGGTAATATCTAAAAAATAACGGTATAAATAATGTACTTTTTAATTACGAATACAAAAAATACAGGTGAATCAGAACCCAATAAATTATGTAAAAATAAGGCATAATAATCAACAGATATAACTTATTTAGAAAATGTATTATTTCAGACGAGACGACATCCAAAAAATGACAGAAGAATAATCTACTCTGACTGTTTGAACTGTCACTGTCATATATTGGGAAACTGGCGATGGCGTTGGGAAATTGCCGGACGACACCAAGACGACTATGAATGGCGACAGCCGAACAAAATTCATTTTTATCATACAAAACTATTTGACCATAAATCTTAAGGTGGGTTTATAGGTATTGTCTGACATTTTTGAAATAACCTATATAAGTTTAGTCAGAAAAGTTAGTTCGTGTCGAATTACTTGATTCAGTTTTTTATTTAATGTGTATAAAAAGAGATTGATTTTTTTTCAATCAAAATGTTTGCATAATATGTGCCATAAGATAACATACGGATTTAACTCTTCCAACTTCTTCAACAGCCGCTCGTTTTCTCTACAGACAAGTTCATGATCCCTTTGGAGTATGTCTCTGGATGAATACAGCTCCACATTTTCTTTACGCAAAATATCGTTTTCTTTTACGTAAATCCTTACTAGTTCTACCAATTCGTGACCTTCCATTTTAGCTAGTTCCTCTAAATCTACGTGAGGTGGACTATGGCCAATCAAATTATCTGCAAAGAAGAAAATAATCAAATAATATATCTTATATCTAGCCATTACCAAGATTCCTTAGTTTGAATATTATAAAAATAGACAAAGATATAATCTTGATTACTTTTTTAGTTTACATCTTACTGTTTACATACATGAAGAAGAAAGACGACGCCTCAGAAGTTCTCGTAGGAGAAGTAGAAAAGGCGCTTCAAGATATTAAAAATGATAAAAGCAGCAGGGAACGACGGAATAACAGCTGAAATACTTAAGTATGCTAGTAGGAGAAATTGGAAAATCCTAACAAACATATAAACCAGCTGTCTAAGGAGAAACATATACAGCAAGACTGGAATAGCGCCAACATAATTCTAATTCATAAGAAAGGCAGCAAAGAAGATATCAGAAACTATAGACCAATAAGCCTACTACCAGTAACATACAAGTTATTCACAAAAACAACAGAAACCAAAACACGTTAGACGCTACACAACCACGAGAACAATTAGGCTTTAGAAGCGGCTTCAGCACGATTGATCACATAAATACACTAAGAGAAACAGAATCAGCCGAAGAAACGAATACGAACTTCCACTAGGCATAGCCTTCATAGACTTTGAGAAGGCTTTTGACTCTATATATCCTAAGGCAATAATAGAAGTCCTAGCAAAACAAGGTACCTACTTACAGTCCTTATAGGTATAGAAACTCTCGCCAAATACAGGGTGTCGCCTCTCATACGCCGCGGAGGCTCCAAGGAGAAAGACAGTTTGTATTGAAATGAAATTTTGTGAGCATATGTAGGTTAATTCGGAGCATTTTCTTAAAATATAGCGAGTTCTACAGGGTGTCCCCAAAAAAGTTATATATCAAAGTTTTGTTTTTTTGTAATGGAATACCCTATATATTAATTGATTTTCGGATTCTGGGAGAAAAATAAAGGTTAATTTTATGAGAGAAGTATATGACCAAAATGTAAGGTTTTTGACATATTTAACATTTTCTAGAAATAAAGAACAATTTTTAAATTACAATAAAATCTACCTAAATTGGAATTTACCCGATATAGCCTAATATGTAGTTAAATTAACTATTGTACTTTAAATCAAATTAAAACTTGATCCAAAAAGTTATACAGGGTGAGACAAAATTAATATTGAACATTAGTCATATTTTAAAGCATGTTACTCTTTTATTTTAAATGGAACACCCAGTATATTATTCCAATATTTAATGGAGAATTCATGTCTCTTTAAAATAATTTAATGTTGCCTACTCCTCAAACAGAGATTTTTCTAGATATTTTCATTTACATGATTTGATCTGAGTAGATCTTTATTATTTGAATAAAATCTAGGTGGCTAATGATATGTCTGACGTTACTTTAACATAGGTGCCTATAATTAGTCCAACTGTAACAACTAGTTATCATTTTGTGTCAGTTAAAACAAAAAATAATTCTCAGAAATTTGCCGAAACTGCTAACTTATCCTACATCAGAGAGAATTGATATGATTCTATTAGTTAGTGAAGGATACTTAAATGCTGCTGATTTTATCTAGTCTGTTTTTTTATTGGTGTATGTTAAAGACAGTGTTTACAAAACTTGACTAACTATTGTCGACAATATAAGAGAAATGATTGTAGCTGTTTTTCGAGGTAGAACTCCACATATGCCTTTTAAAATGGAAAGATCCTTTTGAAAATACAATCATTTTATGCAGTTAACAGGAAAGGAAGCATTTTAAGCATTTGATGTCATCTAGCTAATTTTTGTCACAATTATAGGTTTATATCTAGTTTTAATTCTGTAATAATTAAAATATGTTTTAAACGTGTATCTTTTTATTAACGTTGAGTATTTTACTCTACAATCTTTAATTTTGGTTAAATTAACAAAAGGTTTATTACACAGCTACCTAGATTTTTTCAAATAATAAAGATCCACTGACGCAAAATCATAAAAATTAAAATATCTAGGAAAATCTTTGTCTGAGGGATAGGCAAGCTTAATAATATTTTGAAGATATATAAACTTCCTATTGAACACCGGAAAATTATACTGGGTGTTCCATTTAAAATAAAGGAGTAACTTGCTTTTAAAAGTGACTAATGTTCCATATTAATTTTGTCTCACCTTGTATGACTTTTTGGGTCAAATTTCAATTTGATTTAACATACAATGGTTACTGTAATTAAATATCAGGCTATACAAGGTCAACTAAAATTTAAGTAGCTGTTATGGATATTTAAAATTTACTCTTGATTTTCACAAAATGTGATATATATCAAAATCCTTAGATTTTAGGTATATGCTTCTTTAATAAAACTCACCTTTATTTTTTTCTTAGAATCCAAAAATTAATTAATATATAGGGTGTTCCATTAGAAAAAACACAACTTTGATGTGTAACTTTTTTTGGGGACACCCTGTATAATTCTATATATTTTTAAAAATGCTTTCAGTTAACCTACATATGCTGCCAAAATTACATTCCGATGTAAACTACTGTTCTCCTTGGAGCTTCCGCGGCGTATGAGAGGCGCCAGCCAGTATACAAAGAAGCCAAAGCAAGAGTAATGATATATCAAACAACCCCGAAGTTCCCAACTGGCAAAGGAGTACGACAGGGTGACGCGATATCCCCAAAGTTGTTTACAGCAACATTAAAAGACATTTTCCGTCAACTGTACTGGACCAACAAAGAATTAAAAATAGATGGAGAATATTTTAACTATCTAAGATTCGTTGATGACATTGTCCTAATTGCCCATAGTCCTGAAGAACTACAAGCACAAATTAATAAACTAAATACAGCCAGCAACAAAGTGGGTCTTAAAACGAATTTAGCAAAAAGTAAAGGAATGTTCAACGAACTAGTGGAAAGAAAATACATTCTAATAAATAACACAACACTGGAAATAGTAGAAGACAACTAATACACAGTTCGGGATCTCTACTACCAGAAATCAACACAAGAATTAAGGTAGCATGGAGTAGTTATGGAAGAAACTCAATCATATTCAAATCTAGAATGCCACTCTATCTAAAGAAGAGAACATTCGTCCAATGTGTACTACCAGTCATATACCTATATAAAAGAATAGAGTGGATACGACAAATAAACCGATGTAAAAGGACACAGAGTCAAATCCCTCAAATGGCTATGGGTAGGCCACCTGAGAAGAAGAACGGACAACAGATGGACCAAAAAAATTACAGCATGGTACCCACGAGGAATTAAGAGACCTAGAAGAAAAACGAACCTGAGATGGGACCATGATATTAGGAAATTAGCAGTGATAACTTTGGCCCGCATAGCCAATAATAAACAACAATAGGCCCAACTACATAGAGAGTATGTGAGGAAGGCTACAGCATAACTGGAAATAGTTGAATAAGCTGAAATTGATGATGATGATGATGACTTAAAGGTTGCAACAAATATTACGAGTACACTAAATTATAATGTACTTCTGGACAAAGAAATAACAAACCGTCCATTGGAGAAACAGACAGAGGCCATCACCCAACAACTTAATTCTTAAACCATAACAAAACTGCTAATGCTCAACAGGAATAAAGTGTTGTTTATAAGAGGCCTCTAGATAGGAAATAAAGCTGTATTAAGTACTACTTGAACAAGCTCAACTTACCGGGTGCGTCTCAAAAGTGGTCCACCTCTATAACTTTTTTATCTTTTTAGATAAAAAACCGAAATTTGGTATGTTAGTGTGTGACATAAATTGGGATTGATTGACGTATTCAATTGTTTTCGGTCACTTCCTGTTTAACCGGAAATGACTACAACTTTTGATTTTAAAATGACACTCTCGGTATTTTTATACTTTATTTGATAGAAAATGATACTCTGAATAGAATGACATATCTTTTGTCAACTTTTGACATTCTCGCTTAACAAAAAATCGTATTTTAAAGTTCAATCTAGATATACAAAACTAGGGTTTTTAACATACCATGGCTATATTAAAAACACTAGTTTTTAATAAAAGAGCCTTGGAAAAATAGATTTGGTCGTCTAATGTTTTTAGTATATATGCATATTAGTATGTCCTGGCCGGTTAAATGATACCCAAATCGTATTTTTTTATATATATCATTTTTTTTTCAAATGGAACGAGGGTGGCTTATTAGCATATTTGGAGAAATCATTTTTTACGAATAATTTGATACCACACACTTGGTACTTCGTCAAATTGTCGTTATGAACCCCATGTTACAATTTCAAATAAATCATATCCCAAATGTAAAAATTTGACGTATAATATGTCATTCTATTCAGAGTGTCATTTTCTATCGAATAAAGCAGAAATATACCTAGGGTGCCATTTAAAAATCAAAAGTTGAAGTTATTTCCGGTGAAACAGGAAGTGACCAAAAACAATTGAATACGTCAATCAATCGTAATTTATGTCATACACTAACATACCAAATCTTGTGAATGCAAATGAGGTCTATTCTGCAAAGTCTGCGATAAAGATCCTGAAACAGCAGAGCGCGTAATACGTTACTTTGAGGCTCTGGATCGCAAGTGACACTTTCTATTTGGGAAAACAATGCTAGAACCGGAGGAATTATGTTCGTATTCTATCAAGGACCTGTTACAAATTGGTGCAGGGTACAGAGTACAGGAATAGGAGACTGGCTGACGATATAGCAAGTTTTTTCGGCATAGGATAGTCCTTAAATATTGGGGCAAAAAATCAAAAAATGTATTTTTACCTATTCGCACGTTTAATTTCAACCCTAAACGCAGTTAACATAAGGTCGAGAATGGGATAGCACTAAATTTGTTTGTAACTAAAGATACTTCAATAAACAATAAAAAGAAAAGGGCCCAATAAACAAGTTACTTGTAGTATTTTAGATAAGAAGAATATAGTCTTTAAATAAAAAAAGTCCAATAAGTGACATATTTTTGTTACATTTAAAGCTCGAACTCACTAACGGCCGGCTGGTCGGATATATTTCGTACATAGGAGGTGCGGCCGGAAGAAAAACCTGCAGTTTCGGCAGGGCTGTCAGATCTAACGGTTTTTTACGTTTTACCAATTAGGAAATATTGTTTTCAGAAATGTTAAAATATCCGAGTTGACTAAAAAGCGAAGTTCCTATTCTTGACCTTATTAAATGTTGTAATATTAAATAAAGCGTTTAAAATATTAAGTAATTACAGTAAGGTAATTAGTATAGTTTTCACACATTGTAGAGGACCAAAAGAAATTCTACAGGGCAGATCAAAAAGAAACTTATTATTTTTTTATTTTTTCACATCGAAACTCGAAGGTATAATAACAGGTATCATACCAACCATAAATTTTCTTCTTGCGGTGCCGCGCCTGTCTTCAGGCGTTGGCGATCTCCATGACTATTTCGTGGAAGAGTTCTCTATCTTCTGCTGCATGAAACAGCCTCTCCACCCCCAGACCGGTCCAGTTCCGTATATTTCTGAGCAATGACAGTTTCTTTCGACGTACCCATCCTCTACCTTCGACTTTTCCTTGAATAATCAAACGAGGAATATAATATTTGGTGCCACGCATTATGTGTCCGAAGTAGCTCACCTTTACCTCGCCTTGATGGTGGTTAACAGTTCCCGATCTTTGTTCAGCTGTCCAAGAACCATAAATAGAGTATGTCATATTAAAATGTTTTGAATTTTTACTAGAATTGACCCTTGATAAAAAAGGGACTAGATTTAAGTTTCCCTTTGATCCAGTGTGTATACTATTTCTTTGGATTTTCTGCACGTGTGCAAAAACTACACTAAAACACTGTATCTTTTTTGCATTTCATCTGAAAAATTATTAATTCGGAAAAAAACCGGCAACAAGCGGCAGAAAATAATATTTTAGTGCAATCTAAAATCTACTGGTCGCAACGACCAGCCAACGGCCAGGTCGTTATTGCGCGTTGTATCATTTGATTTAATGGTTTTAGAGGTAGCAGCGACCTGGCTAGTGAGACCTGGCCGTCAGTGAGTTCGAACTCTTAAGTTTGACCTAGGACTTACCTAAACCTGCATTTTTATCATCCGATGAAAGATTTGACGTGGAATACACATGCAAAGCTGTCCTGAGATGTTCGTTTTCATTTTGCAGTACATCCACTTCACGTTTTAAACTCAAGATCAGAGCTTCTCGTGGATCCTGCACAAAGATTTTTATTTTTATTACAAAATAAATTAGAAAGAGTTACAAAAAATATCAAAATTAAATTAGTTTAATTGGCATAACAGCTTAATATTATTATGTTATATTAGGATTTTTAAATGTAACTTACCATAACAACAATAGGTTTCGTTCTAATTCTTTTTGCCCTAGCAGCATATCTCAAGGTATTTAATGTTTCACAAAGGTTAGATTTTGCTGGAGAAATGCATGCAATCTGAAATAGAATATTGTATAAAAATCCAAAAGTAATTAGAAATAAAAAATACTATTTAATTGATTTTTTGTTGAATTTCTGTTGTCTTTATTTTCTGATTTACACAGTTGCCATTTATTGAAAGAATAAGACTAAAGAATAAAAGGCAAATAAATAAAATTTTATAATAATTTTCGTATTGTACGTAGGCGTATTTTAATATTTTAAGCAACAGAGGGGTAACTAAAGAATAATATTCTGAATATTTGTTGCCAAAATTTTATTTTTTGTTAAATTCACGTTGATTTTTTTCCTTTAACTAAATTTGTTAAATTATTGAGATTTAATATGTCGTACGTATAAAGTGTGACTGCGTAATTAACATTAATTTAATATTTTCCTTTGTTAATCAATTTGATCACTAAACACTTTTAAAATTGGTTTATATTCTGAAAGCGATTTCAAATGTTAAGCCGAAGTAGAGAAAAATATAGTATGGATATACACTCAGATACAAAAGAAACGCAACGGAAAAACTTTTGATCAAGTTTAAAATGTTATATTTTTTTATTTTTAGCCCTATTTCTTTGATATTTTTAGCAAACTGTATATAAATATATCAACTTTAATTCGTAAACGTAAAGTTTTATTTTAAAAATTTGTATCTTTTGCAAAAGGTAACAGATTTAATTAAGAGGTGAAAGAATAAATAAATATCAGTAAAATGTTATCAGAGCTGGTAGAAATGTAAGAACTTGACACTGTTTCCGATACGCTTCAGTTCGTCCGCCAAAAAAATGTATGGAAGGAAAGGATATGAAACGGAAGGGAGCTGATATGGAAGGTATGGTGAGAATCAACCTTTACTGGGAACAAACAATAATCATAACTAAAATTAATATGCGTGTGATACAATGACTAAAGAATCAAAGGACAAATAACACCCGAGAGCAAATTGTGACGATGTCACCAAACAGTAACGTGGCACATATTTTTCTTAACATAGCTGTTTGAAGCAATATTTATATTTTTTAATAATTGTTTTGACTACGCCTATGGTGTATCATCCTAATTAATTACGAAAAAAACGTATTAAAATGTTAACAAAAGGTACAAAATTAGTCGTATCGACGTATAGCACATATCAAGTACATATAGATGTTAATTGAAATTGAAGAATAATTATCGAATTCAATAAGAAAACGCTAAAAAGTTGGAGTGGATTGTTTATTTACCTATGAAACGTAACTCCTGGCTCTACCTTATCGCTGCTGCTTTTACACTTGAAAGCTGAACAACTAATCACCATTGTAATAAAGTTTATACAAAGTTTACTACACACAAAGTATTAAAAATCGCTAAAATTGTCGCTGGTGACCAAATGATGACTCATTGTTTGCCACCAAAACAAAAAAAAAGGTCACAAATTCTGCTACAGCCCGTATAGGGGCATTACATGTCCTTATATTCTTTAGTCATTGGTGTGATAAAAATGTTTTTTAAATAGTAAATTCAAAAAAAAAATACTAGAATAAATCAAGTACCAACCATTAGAGTAACTCCGTTCCCTGCTAGAGAATCAGCTAATAACTTAGTCAACTTGGAATCTCTGTAAGGAATATGACATATTTTCTTCTTTGTATCACTTAAAGAAGATATACAATAGCCTAAAAAAATCACATTACACAATTTAAAAATGTAATCACTGAATCTAGTATTAATGCGTTATGAAACAAAACCAAATTGTCAGTACAAGTTGAATGTAGAACTGTTTAGTTCAAAAAAGCTTTTAGGGGGGGGGGGTGTAACCTTCAGACTTCAGACTAATGTCCACAGTAAGATAGAAAAGGTCTCTTATTAATTATTAATATCTGTTCATTTCGATATCCTTAGTATTTGAATTTAAGTAATAGAAGGGTAATAGATATCGATTATTTTTTTCTTTGCTATATTTAGATTTTGAATAATTTGTCTAAACGCATTTTAATAAATGTTAAAACGTTAATTTTAATTTATATTTAATCAATAAATTATTATTAATTAATAAAATATTTTATTTTAATCTCAGACAAGTACATATAACATAACAAATAAACAAAACATTACTGTATAAAATGAAAGTATGGAGATATTCAAAGGAGATATCAATAGAAAAATGCTAGAATGCGACTTATTAATTAAAAAAGTTTATTCATAGTCAAATCATACTATTAAAAAACACCATGTGTAAAAAATACAAGGACCAAGAACACCCGAGATCAAATTGTTACCATTTGTCTCCAAACAGTGCCGTGCTAGAGGATTAATATAAAATACGCAGAATTATACAAAAATTGGAATTTTAATTGTTTCACAAATATTTTTGTTTCGGAGGGTTGCAAAATTAAATTTATTACTTACTGTTACGCTTATTAGACATGTTTAGTTAGGAATAATCTTTATTTATATATATTTTATGATATTATGATGCTGCTTCTTTAACGAAAAAAACTATTAAAACGTTTACAAAAAGTACAAAACTAGTATGGACTGTATGTTAGGACGTATCATAATATAATATCAGAAAAATAATTATGAAATTAAATAAGAAAACGCTAAAAAGGTTGAGTGCAGAAAATTAACTGTTTTAAACGTAATTTCTGGCTCTTTCTTATCGTTACGGCTTATAAATAATCAGCTTAATAAAGTTTATACACAGTTCACTACACACAACAAACTATTAATAATTGCTAAAATTGTGGCTGCTGTCCTGATAACTAGTCATTGGGTTAGTCTCAGGGCTGCCATCTTTTGTATTTAAAAAATCGGGACAGCACTAGTGCAACCTTTTTTCTTAAATGTAAAATTTTATGTACCCATCGGACTTTGAAACAATATTTTAAGCGTTAACTTAAAAAACTATTCGAAATTTATAAATAATTATGTAAAAATAAAAAATGAAAAGTTGAAAACAAAATTAGTAAACAATCAATTAAATCTAAAATAACTAGAACAAAACCTAAACAAAATCAAAAGTTTCAGCTGTATAATCTGTATAATTTCCTTTATTAGTTTATTTAATTATTTTTAAATGAACATTTTTTGGCAAAATAAAACAAAATAAATACACCAAAACAGTTTAGCATCATCAGCAGATCATGAAAACTGATGGTTAGCTTCAAATTTATGGTTAGCGAAACGAGCGTCCAGTGCTAAAAGCAAGGTGTTTTGGTGTATTGCTGTGAATTAGTGTTTTATTTTGCTGTTTTAACACCACAGGTTCCAACTTACTGTAATGAATATTTTTTATTTGTTTTGTTGCTGTAATAAGAGCCCTGTCATTTTTAATAAAATCCAAAAATTCTTATATGCGATATATTAAAATTAAATGAGATTTGAAGTTCCATTCTAATGAGCTTAACTGAACATCTATTTCTAGCATCTGTCTATTTCAACATCATACGTGAAAATATACAGGGTGGCGTACCTCATTCGCCTCGGTTGATTATACGAAAACGGAAAGATGTAGAAACAAAATATTTTATGGGTATATGTGGGGAGACAATGTGCACAATTTAAAATTATTTTGAAATATACAGGGTGTTTCAGAACTAAGATCCATACAAAAGTTATATTTTTTCTTATGGAACACCCGGTATTTTATTTCATTTTTGGATTCTTGGGCCCAAAAAAAGGCATTTATTATAAGGGTTAAATATGTTTAAAATCTTTAGTTTTTGAGATATTTAAAGATATTTAAATTTGCATGCTACAATAGAATAGACTATTAACATCCTGTACATTACTTTTCAGAATTAATTCTTATGCTGAGTTTAAAGATAGAGAAATAAACTTTACTGAAAAATGGTATTGGTTCCTTATATATTAATTCCTTTTATATTAGTTCCTTTTATATTGCTGATCTATTTTAAGGACATATTTTATATAAAAACTTCGTTATTTCAAATGCAACACCCTGTATTTTTTTAAACGAATCGAAGCAGATTCAAATGCTCTTTCAAACTATATTAGGGTTTCCTATACCTATCTAGCTCAGATTCTGAATAAAAAGCGATTTTTAAACAAAATTGCAATCACGATGGCTGGTTTCGCCATGAAAATTTTCTAGTGACAGTTAGTAACTATTTTCAAAGGCGACATTAGTTTATGGACATTATTATTTATAATTTATAACAGTTTACTTAAATTTACCTACAATAGTTTAATAAGTAAGTATTCATTATTTTATCAAGAAAAATAAAGCAGTATCTGCTGGCGGAACGAATGGATAAGTTACTAGTGATTTTATTTTCTGGGGAAAATTGCTTCTTGGCCTCAACTCCTTATGCTCAAAGATATCCAAATTAAATAGGAATCTTCCTGATAAGCGTTTCTTCGAAAAACTTCTTGTCCTATTTCGCAGAGCTGGTAGTGTGGTTTATAAAAAACCTATTAGGCAGAAACCTGTCGTCGGAAGTGAATAAAATGAATTTGCCGTAATTGGCTATTTTATAGAAAATCCATATATCTACAAGTCATCGTAAAATAATTCAAAGAACTACTTCTTCGTTTTTCTTGATAGAATAATATACACATATTTAATAAATATTATTTATTAAACTATTGTAGGTAAATTAAATAAAAGTAAACTGGTATAAATTTAAATATTAGTCCATAAACTAATTTTGATTTTGAAAATAGCTACTAACTGTCACTAGAAACTTGCCATGACAACACTAGCCATCTTGATTGCAATTTTGTTTAAAAATCGCTTTTTATTCAAAATCTGAGCCTGATGGGTATAGGAAACCCTAATATAGTTTAAACAGCATTTAAATCTGCTTCGACTTATTTAAAAAAATACATAGTGAAATAACGAAGTTTGAAGTGAAATAACGAAGTTTTTATGTAAAATAAATATTTAAAATATACCAGCAATTTCTGATACCCCTGTATACATTTAAGGAAGGAGTAACATTTTTCTGTAAAGTTTATTTCTCTACCTTTAAACTCAGCACAAGAACTAATTCTGAAGTAATGTACAGGGTGTTAATAATCTATTCTATTGTAGCGTGCAAATTTAAATATCTTTAAATATCTCAAAGACCAAAGATTTTAAACATATTTAACCCTTATAATAAATACCTCTTTTTGGGCCCAAGAATCCAAAAATGAAATAAAATACCGGGTGTTCCATAAGAATAAATATAACTTTGGTATGGATCTTAGTTCTGAAACACACTGTACATTTCAAAATAATTTTAAATTGTGTAAGTTACCTCCCAACATATAACTATAAAATATTTAGTTTCTACATCTTTCCGTTTTCGTATAATCAACCGAGGCGAATGAGGTGCGCCACCCTGTATAAATAACAACCTTAAACAATGAAATAAGCATATAATTTACTCTAGTTTTAAAAATACTTTATTTTTTTTCTATATTTTTTATATCCTTTTTGGAAAATTTCCTTTACACAAGTTTTTATTATCGAATATTCATTAAACTGAGTATCAATATCTACTTCTTTTAATTCAAAAAAAAATTGTTTAATAAAAACGTGACTATTAAACAAATTAAAATCGGGACATTAGAACTTTGAGTAGGGACGGGGGACTTTTAGATCAAAATCGGGACTGTCCCGACAAAATCAACCAAACCAAACAAAATCGGGACGGGTGGCAACCCTGGTTAGTCTATCTGTTGAGGTGATCAACTGTTTAGGTAATTTTCGCCTGAGACAAAATGCGTTACTTTCCACGATGTCAAATAGCAAAATAATAAAAAGTATCGCGAGAAGAACTATAATATATAAATCGAGAAAAACTTATATTACCTAAAACCATTAGACTTTTATTGATATTGTTCGCCTCCTCTAAAGTTTTTCCTTCACTCTGAGTTTTCTTTGTCATTTCACTTCCTGCCAAGTCAACGAAATTAATTTTTCCAGTTCGTGAAATAAAAACACCATTTTCTGCGGGTTGTTCCGATGTTATGTGTACTGTCAGTATCGTGTGACTTCGACTTTAAGCAAAAATAATCATTTTTTACGTTTTTCACCTAAATTTCTTAATTATACCTGGAATATTCGTTCATGTTGTGTCTTCCTACCGATCTGTTCCTCAAACCTTCTTCTAGAACAGCAATTAAATCGTCTAATTCCTCACAATCAACGGTAAATAAATTTTCTACAAAGAAACCTCTTGCTTTTTTACTCCACCGAACAGCTAAAGGTTTTCTGGCACTTCCTGGATTTAATAAGTCTATCACCTGCAATATTCCAGTAAACAACACATCAATTATTTTTTTGGGGTCTATCGCTCTCACCTACGAAAAAATATTACTTCCAAGGCCAATCTAGTGCTTTTTAACTCTTTTTCTGTTAAATTATCGATTACTAATTTAAGTAATAAAATAAAAAAGATTTGCATCGGCCGGGAATCGAACCCGGGCCGCCCGCGTGGCAGGCGAGCATTCTACCACTGAACCACCGATGCTTATGAGATTTTCTTCTCTATAAGCAGTAATTTACAAAAGTGATGATCTAGTTAAATGACGAATTAAATAAAAAGATGTATTTTTGGAACAGTTTTTAAATTTGTAGTTAAAAACGTAATATATAGGGTAGTCCGAACTGTTATTACGGAAACTTCGGCAGCATATTCTAAACATAAAAATAAGTCCTAAAAAGCTCGTATGAACTTATGCCCTAAAATACTTCGTTTCGGAGATACAGGGTGTTAAAGTTTCATTTTTATTTCGATTTTTTCGAAATAATTTTTGAACTAATGTCGATATGTGGATGAAAATTGGTATCTGGTTTTTTTTAACATGAGAAATTTGATTTCGATGTTAATATGAGGTAGGGGGCATAGATAAAAGAAAATAATCTACTAGGTATTAAGAGGTAGGGGGTGCCACCTACATGTTTTTTACTGTTTTGAAGATTAATAACTTTTCATCCCTGTTTTATCAGAGTTTTACACACGTTTTACACCACTGAGTGATACATTTACGCCTTATTTCACGTAAAAAATGCCTTGGTGAAAATCGCTGCGACCTATTCTCTGGCTGCGACCAACTGAATCTGGAATGGAAATAGATGGGAAATAGTCAACACATGTCATAATTGACAAAAATTATACATGTTGACTGGATAGTAGTCTGAAATAATAAATTTGCAATGTTTTTGTGCCAAAGATTTAACATTGCAGAAACTGTTTTTTCGTATTTTTTTCTTGAAAAATTCATGATTAGCAAGAAAATAAAAAGCTATGTTGACTATTTCCATTCCAAATATCTTGAAAACGGTTGCTCACAGAGAGATATTTTAAAAAAAAATTGATGTAATAACTATTAATTGATGAAATGTATATTTTTTCACACAACAGTTTTATACAGGTACGGATGAAAAGTTATTATACTTCGAATCAGTTAAAAAAGATGTACCGTCAACTGGGGCTACTTTGTCGTCCCGGGGTAACTTTGTCACCTCGGATGAACCATTTTGTCTTTTCCTTCTATTTTCTTCTTTATTATTTATTTCTTTTTTTGTTACCGTTTTTATATTGCTACAGGTACTAACTAAAGAAAATGGTGAGAAAGTATGAGAAAACGCCGGGAATTATTAATATTATCCCAGAATTATTATTAATATTATCCCAGAATTATCGGAATTGGGTATAACAAAGAGGACGTCGAAAAAGCGTTGACAGCTGTTAAAAATGGCAAGTCCAAAAACGGGCGGCAATTTTGTTTAAAATCCAACTGTCTACTCTTGTAAACAGATATCTTGGAAGATTTAATAAAAAATGCGGTCGCCCCACTGTTTTATCTCAGCAGGAGCAGCAGGTGATTGCAGATACGCTTGGTCAAGTTGCTAACCTTAACCAAAATGGATGTTCGCGCAGTAGTTAAAAAAATACTTGGATAAACAAGGTAGAGTAGTGCCGGTGTTTAAAGACAATTATCCAGGGGAAGATTTTGTAAACAATTTCGTGAAACAGAACAACCTAAGTACCTAAATAAAGTTTATTTTTTACTAAAAGTCTTGTTTTTGCCTTTTTTTTCAAAATACTACGACCCACTATTTTGCATCTCCATCATTATATCGGGGCTACTTTGTCACAAAACTGAAGAAAACGCGATTTAAATCGTATTTCCATTAGGTGGCAAAGTAGCCCCCGACCCGGGGTAACATTGCCACCCTAATTTTTATTTTTTTTTTCGAAAAATAGGTACAAATGTGAAATTTTTTCATGACCATTCGATCTGCAATAGTCCTTTTGATATATTAAAATTTATTTGAATCATTTGTCCTGATAATTAGGATGGGTAGAGTAGAATATATCACTAAAACATGACAAAGTAGCCACGGTTGACGGTAGGTTGCGCCCCCTACAAGTATGAGTCATATTGACATCGAAATCAGATTTTTCATACTAAAAAAACCCCAGATGCTAATTTTCATTTAAATACCAAATTTAGTTCAGAAATTATTAGGAAAAAATCGAAATAAAAATGAAATATCTACCCAGTTCTGAAAACACATATACAGTATGTCCCGAATTGTCTTTACAAGAGGAGACACTTTTTTGTTATTGACATTTAAAAAAAACGTATTTAATAATATTTCAGGATTACGTAAAGTGAACAGAAAAACATTAATATACAAGATGTTTCATTTAAAAAAAACATCGTAATCCACTCACACTTTTTTGAGCCACCCTGTAGAAGTTAAAATATTTTCCTAAAATACATCTTAATCCATATTTTAGGTTTGCGCTTAAACAAAATTCCTAAGTTTTTTTATCATAGGAGAATCATGCCTTATTTCATTATTATATTATTATTCACTATTGTCGGACCCTGTTTGTTGCGTTTTTCATCGACGGAACGTAACAACTCGACAACTGGTTGATTTATTCTCGTATTGAGTTAATATTAGTTACATACATAAAACTGCGTAAAATAAGTCGCTGGTGTCAAAAATTGGTATAATTGAAACTGCGCATAAATATGCCGCGTAAAACGACGAATACCTTCTGTAGAAAATTTTTATTTGAAAACACGTAAAAAAAACTATTTTTGTTTATGTATGCTTACCTTTTCGTTGTATATTTCTAAGTAACTAGCCTTAAGAATAAAATGCTTATCAGGTTGCTCTTGAAGTTTCTGAAATAAGTACATGAACGATCTAAACACTAGACCGTGTGCATCACTATAAGGTGTTTTCTTCAGTCCAAACTAAAAAAAACAGCACATTGTATTAAATCTTTTATTCGACATCCATAATAAAAAAATACCAAACCAGGAGGTCCAGTAAGGGTGTGTGTTTTTCCACTTCCGGTCTGACCATAACAAAAACAGGTACACCGGAAACCTTCAACTGCCATTTCTATTAAGCGCTTCATTCCTACAGAAATATTTATTAATTTCAGAGATTACAGAAAGGAAGGAAGGACTTTATACCGGGTGTCTCTCAAAAGTAGCTTAACAATTATCTTTTTCTTGTTTTTAAATTAAAAATGAAATTTGGTACGTTAGTAAATTTTAGTATATGACATAAGTCAGGATTGATTGACGTATTCAATTGTTTTCGGTCACTTCCTGTTTCACCGGAAATTACTACAACTTTTGATTTTTAAATGACATCCTCGGTATTTTTTTACTTTATTTGATAGAAAATGACACTCTGAACAGAATGACGTATCATATATCAACTTTTGATATTTTTGCATATGGTTTATTTGAAATTGTAACATGCGGTTCATAAAGACAATTATTTAACTCGATATACCAAGTTTGTGGTACCAAATTAGTGAGAGCGCCCACCAAAGTGACGTAGCATCTGACGTGGCACGTAATCTGGCAAGTAACCATATACGTATTATTTACAAATATACTCAGCCTAATCTCCAAAAAGTGAAGCCCAAACAGTGAAAGAACAATATGGAATTCTGCATAAGTCTATTTCACCCGGATATTCATTTAACTGCGCATGCCTCACCTGAAGAATTTTTCATTGGTCGATGTTTTTAAAGGGAAGTGGTTGACTGACATTTCACCTAACCTTCAATTTTATTTATATTTTTATTATTTATAACACATTATCATGGAGTTGGAAAAATATCAACAAATAGTTGGAAACAATAAACTAAACAAAATCACTCTTTTACGCGCACAAATAAAAAGTAATCCAAACAGAACTAAAACAACAATCAATCGGACTTTGGCGCAATCGCAGTTTAATCCATATCCGGGTGAAATAGACTTATGCAGTTTTAATATGGAGCTGGGTTATGTTGTCTTTTTCTTACGGCACAGAAACTGCACACGGGGTTAAATAGGGAACCCTGAGTATATTTGTAAATTATACGTATATGCAAGTAACATGCATCTAGCAAGTTACGTCGAATTGAACAAACGATAATAAGTGTGTCAGCGAACACTGAGTAGCGCTGTCAGAAACGTGTCATTTGTTGTTGTAGCATGCCATGCAGTGGCATTGTGGCAAAAATAGAACCGTTTTTTCAAAACTAGAACTAGTTCTACTTTTTGCCACGTGCTATTAACACGTTACACGAATATGGCAAAAATGGAGGACGATCCGGACTTCAATATACGTTTTGTATCACTGATTGAGACTAAACCATGCATTTATGACCACACTCGTGCCGATTATTCCAACAGGAATAAACAAAACTTAGCACGGGATCAACTTTTCTAACTAGCACATCAAAGGTTTCTTTTTTCATTCTATAAAATGCTCGAAATCTTTCAGGATAGATATTCAATTCCTTAAAAACACTGAATCCACTGTTCCTTTGTCTCTTTTTGCGAAAGGGGTGTTTGGATAATTTAGGTTCATATTAATTAGGTTTACAACTGCTAACAAATCTTCATTATCTGAGGACGACATGTTTACGTCACTGCCCCATCACTTATATGTGCGCTTCCTGAAGAATCATGCAACGCTATTGCCATATCATTGTCATGTATGTGCAACGTCATATGCGAGGTCACTTTGGTGGGCGCTCTCCCTAGTGTTTTTAACACAGGCAAGGCACTAGAGATTGAAATTTAAAATTCGATTTTTTAAGCGACAATGTCAAAACTTGGCATATGGTATGTCATTCTATTTAGAGTGTCATTTTTTATCGAATAAAGTAAAAAAATACCGAGGGTGCCATTTAAAAAATAAAAATTGTAGTCATTTCCGGTGAAACAGTAAGTGAACAAAATCAATTGAATACGCCAATGAATCTTAATTTTTGTTATATACTACCATACCAAATCTCGTTTGTTTGTATAAATAATACAAAAGTTATAGGGGTGAACCGCTTTTGAGAAACACTCGGTATAAGCCGCATCAGCTGCTGAGCCATTTAACCAATGACTAAAGAATCCAAAGACAAATAATACCCGAGAGCAAATTGTGCCGATGTCACCAAACAGTGCCGTGGCACATATTTTTCTTAACCTAGCTGTTTGAAACAATATTTATATTTTTTGATAATTGTTTTGACTACGCCTATGGTGTATCATACTAATTAATTACGAAAAAAACCTATTAAAATGTTAACAAAAGGTACAAAACTAGTATCGACGTATAACACATATCAAGTACATATAGATGTTGTTGGAGTGGACTGTTTATTTACCTATGAAACGTAACTCCTGACTCTTATCGCTGCTGCTTTTACACTTGAGAGCTGAACAACTAATCACCATTGTAGTAAAGTTTGTACAAAGTTTACTACACACAAATTATTAAAAATCGCTAAAATTGTCGCTGGTGACCAAATGATGACTCATTATTTGCCATCAAAAGAATGGCCTCTAAGGTCACAAATTCTGCTGCAGCCCGTATATGGGCGTTACGTGTCCTTATATTCTTTAGTCATTGCATTTAACGTTGAGATACAGCTTTGAGTTGTGTTTGAGATACAGAGATAGGGAGAACGAGCATAAACGTATCTAGAAATTCTAATCATGATAGCCGCCATGTTCGCACTTGGGTCTATATAGGCAGATGGATTATAAAGTTTCTTGGCGGTCATCTTTAGTTATTCTTGAAAATATCGCGTAATATTAATTAGGCTAATAAAGTAAAGAAGAGGAAACAGAAAAACTGTAATACTAAAATTACTATAATCATTATAGTCAATTTTTACCATACTTCAGCGCACGGGGCATGTGCAGATATTGTGCAGATATTTCTTATTCTATTTCGCCGATTGAAAATTTACAAATAAAATTTTCCTATTTGTTATCTTATTTTCCTGTTTGAACCCCCATTATTTATAAAATTTTGACTACAACGAGCGATAATTCAAATACTAAACGATATAGTAAAATTGACCAAACTAACTATTTAATATTTATTAAATTATAACACATAAAATACTAAAAACCCTTCAGAAGAATACAAAAGCCGTTTATATCAGTCTATTGGTTCAAAAAAAAATACAAAAAATAGAAACACATGCCAAAATAATATTCTACAAATTCAAAACAATTTCTACAAATTTACACCCAAAATTCATTTTGACTTAAAAAATACAATATATATGTATTTTTAATAAATTTATTAATTTTGTAAAATAAAATTCCTGTTTATACATTTTCTTCTCTCTTTTATCAGAATACTGCGAGTATTTACTATCAGTTCTTACCAGAATATTGCAACACATCTTCTTGAGTAGCTGCCGGTTCAAAAACAACGTTGTATGAAAATAATTTCGTTTTGAGCCCGCCTCCTGAACCACCCGGTACATCAGTAATCTATGAAAAACAATAAATTACCGTATTAAATTACATACATACGTCATAGTACAGTATGATCGAAAAAAAAATGGCGTCAAGTTGGCTTCGAGAGTTACCTTCGTTTCTAAGCTAGTTTAACACCGTTTTTCCTTCGATCGTATGATATTTTTACCTACCAAAATTTGTCCATTGCCTGGAAATTGTACCACATTATTGTCCACGCTTTTTATTTCTTTCTTACTAAGTGGTCTTACCCTGGAAGAAATTATAGTTCAATAAGACTATTTATTCTAAGCATTTGCATATAATTTAACATAACAACAGTATTTTCTCATTTCTGCCGAGTGTCTATAGCTGTCCTCCAAGTTAATATATATACCTAATATATTCCACTTATTCTATGACAATTAACTTATAAAAATGATGTCACAAAAATCACAACTTATTCAATATATGGCAAAATATTTCCGCATTACTTGCCACTTTCTAAGCATAATATATCCTCTTCACCATTGAGGTCCTCGCATCAGATCTTTTATACATGTATTTTGGATAGAAATAACTATATTTAGTTACTGTTAAATGATCTGTTAATTTACGATTATTATTCATAAATATCAGATCTTATAAGAATTGATATTTCCAAAAACATAACAGGTATGAAAATAATACTAATCGAACAGCCAGAGCTGACATCATTACGCCATGAAAATTTACCAAACTCGCAACAGTTGTTGTACGAAGAAATAACAGGTATAAAATCAAATAAAAAATAGGATAGAAATTAAAATACCTATGATAGTAGTGCATAGACATACATAACATAGAATTGGACTTCCTTCTAGAGATGGATTGTTATTTAACGATCTGATTTTATAAATAACAGTTTGTAGCAGTTGTTGGTTTAAAAAATTAACAGCTACGAATATAACACTGCGCCATTGTGATTCATGTATTACAGTAAAACAAAATTTTACAAAGCTCGCAATCATTGTTTTAGAAAATAACAGGTATGAAATCATGTGAAATACAAGTCAGCTAACAGTTACCTCTGATATTTATATCTCTACGTCACAAAATTCTTCCAATCTGACAATAATTGCTCCAAAAAATAAGGCAGTTTTGGCAATATGGATGACAGTTTTTGTTGTAGAGTCGTCAGTGTTGTGGATTGCAGAAATACTGATTTTTTATTCCTTTTTAATGCTTATTGTTGTTACACGATTATAGATAGAGATGAAGACATAGTGAACATTTTTATATAGTGATCTCCTTGTGATTAAATATGTTTGCTTAATAAAATATATTCAGTTTTTTTTTATATACATATTGACAGTTATACTAATCAATTACTGTCACTTATAAATAACAGTTTTACTTGAAGTTTTATTACAGAGTAAGTCATGGAGTAAGTCATTAAAAATATCTAACTGATTATTGAATACGATTTTATGACTGACAATTGACAATTTTATCCTATGTTCATTTTTTTTTGTTGTAATATATTATTTTTTTTATTTAAAATAAGCTTGAATTTAAATAGAAATGTTATATGTATCATTAATTAGTATATCATTACATAGAACCATCATAAAGGTTAATTATGTTTTCATAAATCGATGATTTGATATTTGATGATATATAAAAAAACATTAGTTAATTTGCCTTACCTTACTACCACATTAATGTTGTCCCCGTCCTGATTGTAGCTTGTAATTATTCTCCGTAAATTATTATCTTCGTCTAGCCTTTCTATACTTCCGGATCTAGAAACATAAACATCATGGAAAAACACATACTGACATACTTACTCCTTAATTGTACTAATGGATAATCCAGTTCTTTTAGTTTTACCAAAGCTGTATTACTATAATTTGTTCTTTGACAGACAGTCTATATATAATTTATATCGACTTTTTGTCACATTTATTATCTTATTGGCTTTTACTATTATTTTTTTTTATTCGTAATTTTTTTGTCATGAAATAGGTATCTCAAAATATAATACCAACAATGTTATAAAAAACTTGATTCAAAGTCATTTGTCACTGTAATAATTGCTTATTTATCATCGTCCAAAACAGGGTGCTTTGATAACATCTACTAAGCGATGGAAAATAAACGGCGTCAAAGACGGCTGGAGAATGACGATCCATGATAATTATGGCGAGGTCAAGTCCTGGACGTCATTTACTTCGCCCGTGCTCTTCTTAATTTCTTATTGGTGCTTACTGCCAGTTGGCCTTAAAAGGGTTGTAAACGGTGTACTTTAAAATTCGAGGAAAAAAAAAGATATCTGTTTTTGGAAACAGATATATTTTTTTAATCTTTCAATAATTCGTGTTAATTTCGTTTTATGTCAATTTTTAGTACAGGACGTCAAGGGATTGATCTCGTCAAAATTATCATTCCCAGCCGTCTTTGACGTCGTTTTTGTTATCAAACGGTATTATAAACCATTGCCAACAAGACAGAATAGACAGTAGAATTTCTAAACTATCAAATTGTGTAATATTATCCAAAGAGGACTCCAAGATGGACTAAACCGCGATGCCATTTACCAGAAAGCAAGGTCTGAAAAACTTGAAAAAAATCCAACTAGATGGACAAGAAATACTGCTATCACAGGAAGTCAAATATGTTTAAATAAGTCTGGATAGTAAATTTCTATGGAACAGGCATATTAAGAACATTACCTACCAGCTAAGACACAAAAGGTCTCATGATATGCAGAAGACTCTTGGGAAATAGAAGGGGCTGCGCCCCTAACATTTTTGCGTTGGATGTATATCACGATAATAAGACTCATGATTACTTATAGAGCAGTTGCTTGGTATACAAAATTAGAGCAACGTACAGTAAAGCAAAACTTGTATAATATGCAGAGACTGGCATGCATCTGCATCACAGGAGCAATGGAGGTCATTATAGACCTAACACCGCTGCATATTGTCATCGGTATATATGCCATTGTGACCAATGTTTAGAATGGTCATTGACGGAAACAGTACTGGGAGAATTGTCAGCTCAGGAGCTTGGAACTTGGAACACTCTCAAAAGAAAAATTCCATTCTTTCAACTCCCAGTGGATGGCATACGAAGAATGTATAACTTTGAGAAATGCCTCACTGTAGTATTGAGTAATAAAAAGAATTGAGAAGAGAGAAACGTTTGCTCAGCAGGTAAAAGATCATATCGTGGTATATACTACTGCTTCTATAACCAAGGCAGAAACAGAGATAGGAGTATTTGGACCGAAAACGAAATACTCCAAACCAATGGGCACCTGCCCCAGCATCCTTCATGCAGAAATCTACGCTATCGAAAGATGCGTAAAACTTGTCTTAGATAGGAACTCTCGGAAACAACAATGGTACAACAATTTGCACCATCAATTCGAAGTTGGTCAAAGAATGCTTATAGAGAAGCAACGAAATTTTGATCATACGGTAGATATATGCCCTTTTTAAGTCACATCTTCGTTATGCCCTTCCATTCTGGGGTACTTGCTGCGCAATAAAATTTGATAGTATTTTCAAACTTCAAAAGAGAGCTCGATATTTATTGAGACTAAACAGTAGAAGTCACTGCTAGAATTTCTTTAAACATTTCAAAATACTGACTCTTCCTTCTTTATTCATTTTTGAATCAGTTTGCTTAATCTGCAAGCACATATCTGCTATTCCTGAAAGACCATCTCACACCTATCCACTTAGGAATGCGGAGCACGATCGTTATCTGCCAACCCCGAGCTCAGAACTAGTTCAAGGCTCGATACAGTACAGTGCCAAAAAAATGTACAATCATCTGCCTTTGAATATCAAGCTCTGAAATCATACTTACTGGAGAGAGCCCTTACATGCGGTAAACTTTTTTGTTGATGTTTAATCATGAACAATTTTGAATTTTAACATGTTAATCATCTCACACACTGGTTAAAAGTCTAGTATATAACTCTTAAATGATTATATCCATTTACAATTTTCCTATTGTAAAATTTTATTGATACGCTTTTTATTGTGTTCTGCAATGTCCATGTATGTTCTATTTGTAATTTTAATGACGTACTTTTTTTTGAATTGTATGATATTTTTTATTATTTGTATATTTTGTGTGCTTTTGTTGGTTTTGTAAATGCTTTGTCGATGAAGCTATTTTGGCTTCTTGTACAATAAAGTGTTATTTATTATTTTATTTATGTTATATTTGGATGAATTATGATGAATAAATTAAGATCAAGAAAAATATTTAGTTCTAATAATTTAAATTAAAATGAGTTATCTATCTATCTCTAAAGTGACCAGATTTTGAGTCAACCAATAACAGACGCAGGTGGGACAAGAAAAAAAATAATACATAATTCTCAAGAATAGTACTGAGGCACTATGTAATTTTGATATAAAAAAGTCTGAATGAGCTTCAGAAAATATTTATTTGCGTTAAACTTAAAAAAAATATGTTAAAGTTTTTTTAGTTAAAGAACAGAAACTAAAAGCTTAAATAAACATAATGAAAACTATAAAATATTCAAAACCGGCTGGAAAAGAAAATTTCGAAGGAAATATTTCTTTAATTATATTTCCCAAAATATAATTTCCAAAATTTTCTTTTATTACAAACCAATAGAAAAGTATCAGAATAAAAAATATTACCTATTATATTTCAATAAAAAAAATGTCCCAATAGTATTTCATCGCTATCAATTTTTAAACGCTAAATAAAGAAACAGTTACATTTAAACCATCGTTAACAATGTCAATAAGAATTGGCCTATATAAAATCGAAAACCAATAAAGCTCCATATATATTAAACGGCATTTTTCTCTCAACTTTTTTTACATTATTTATTGGAATAAGCACGTATTTCCTTTCGACATATTGCTACCGAACAACATAATAGATTCGCTATTATACATAAAAATTGCGAGAACATTATTATATTTCCTGGTTTAACGGACTCCTAATCACTTCATTATATCATTTTTATTAAAAATATACCAATAGAATTAAGAAAAGTTATATAAATAAAATGTATAGGAATCCCTCGTTTTATGCGGCTTGTTAGATAGGAAAGGTTTATAGATTTATGTACAACATGAATACAATAAGCTCCCTTCTAATAGCGATAGCACCTTAAATGTTTACAACTCATGGACCAACTTAAGAAATACGTGAAAACCAATATGGCACCAAAAATTATGACGTAACAGTCTGACTTGGAAAATCGTACGCTATCTCCGTTATTCGTGAAGATAGAAGGGTGCGGTTTGCTCAAACCTGTCTCACTTTTTTGTCAAACGGAAGATGCCGTAAACAAAATTTTCATAGCCCTCTTCGTTTCTTTTTAAAAATGTTGCAATTTGGGACACCCCCTGTATCTCTGTTATTGTTAAAGGTATCAAGAAGATAAAAACTGTTTATTGTAGAACTTTTACGTAGAATACAGTGGGGTAGTTTGTTATTCTACGAAAAGAATATTTTTAAGATATGAACTAAAGTTATGTTTTCTTAAATGGAACACCCTTTATATTTATAAATTATATGAGCTGGCTTGCCATAAGCTTCTCAAAACTATATATCACTCTATATTTATTTTTACTATTTACTGCAATATTTAAAAAAATATATTAAAAGATCATAGATCATATTTATTAGTAGGCCATGATTGACAATAAAAAAACTGAATAATTATTAAAAGTATTTAAAAGTATACTGCTATCTGTCTCTTCTTTTATTTTGAGAGCCACTAATAAATTATTTATATATTAGGAAAACTTAACTCTGTACCGCTATTTGTAAATCTTGGAAGCTATCGTATCGGAACTTTTAAATATTCCTTTAGCTAATTTACGTAAACTATACTTTCAGTAAGAGAGGGGCTCCCCCTCACGACTTAACTTACAACGAAAATATTAGAATTTTGTTAAATTATTATTTCTCAAATCAATGAATTGGAACCAATGGACCCATATGCTAGCCTCCCTCTGATTCCCGGATTTGTCCGTTCTCGATTTCTGATTTTGGGGATTTTTGAAATATGAAATATATCCTGGCCACTAATACAATGTGGAACACCTGAAAAATGCTTTAATAATGCAAGCTTTTAGATATTTGCAAACCCATTCCGTTATAAAAAAAAAGAAAAATATATTGAGAGATTCAGTGGTACAGTTCAAAAGTAAAATTCCAAATAAAATGTTAATATGTGTATGACTATTTTAGTAAATACCATTTCGATTTTTGTTATTTATCACGTCCTACTAATCAGAAAATGATATATTTTAAATATTGCAGTAAATAGTAAAAATAAATATAGAGTGGTATACATTTTTGAGAAGCTCATATATAGTAAAGCGGATCATATGATTTATAAATATACAGGGTGATCCATTTGAAAAAACATAACTTTAGTTCATATTTTCAAAAATATTTTTTTGTAGAAATACAGACTGTATTCTACGTAAAAAGTTCTACAAGAATCAGTTTTCACCTTCTCGATATCATGCATAATAACAGAGATAACACGGGGGTTGTCCCAAATTGCAAAATTTTCGAAAAGACCCTGTAGCTCAGAAACGAAGAGGGCTATGAAAATTTTGTTGACAGCATCTTCCGTTTGACAAAAAATTGGTACAGGTTTGTGCGAACAGCACCCTTCTATCTTCACGAATAACGGACATACATAAACATATTATTTCAACTAAAATGGGACACCCTGTACATTATATCATTTTAATTACATTTAGAAAAGTTATGTAAATAATAC